AGGGATGTGCGGAGCGCATCTGAGCGCTGGGTGGCTCCGGGACCCTGCCCCTGCTGGGGCAGCGGTGCTCTTATCTGGGAGAGGGGATGTCCAGAGGACGGCGTGTCCTTTGCGATGCGGATTGGCACGATTGGGGGGGAGGTGAATATCGGAAAGCTGCTAGAACACGGTCAGGGTTGGGGATTTGAGCTGAGAGGCTTTGGCAGGTGGAATTTTCCCCCCGTGTTTGTGGGGAGTGATAGTGTGAAGAACTGTCAGGACCCGTTCTAGCTTTGTCCCTTGTGAAGGAGAAAGGAGGAGAGAGGCCTGCACAGGCTTCCAGAGAGACAGCATTGACGCTGCATGGGCCTGCATTGGGAGCTTTGGGATGCTGATTGTAATCTTTTAACGCGTTATAATGTTTCATTGCATTATCATGGGTTACTGTTTTGTTTCTTTCTGCTGCTGTATATGTTCTTGCCGTGCTTCTGCATGGCAATTCTGCAGTTAGATTTTTCTTAGGTAAACCCTTAGAAGACAGGAGTTCACTGGTTTCTTCATGCCCCAAGGTTTTCAATGTTCGTTGCATAGATGGTGAACAAGTGGAGGTGTTGCTTTGGGAGCTGCTGCAGTGATGTCATGATGACATCGGTGCAATGCATGAAAAGGCAGCAAGAGTCTAGAGCAATCTTTACCATCTGTGCTTGCTTAGTATTGCTGTACTTGGTTCCATAACTGCAACTTGTGAATAGAGTGCAGTTAAAAGTACGTGCTAAAAGTATAAACTCATGATATAAAAGTATAAACACTCAAGATATGTTAAAAGTATAAACTCATGATCATGTTATCTCAACTTTTTTTTTTTCTTGACTGAGGAAATCTCACTGAAATAATTACTTATTTTAGGTTTCTAGAAACACCCTGGGTGCAGCATTTGTTGCTACAAGAAATATCCATGCCTCCAAAACATGCTATCAGAAGACTGGTGAGTCTGAGAAAGATCTTCATACAAGAGTGTGGCTTCAGAACTTGCTGTGTCACATAAAGAGGGGGGTGAATTTGGAATGTGAGGGGGGGTAGTATGTCAGCTGGCAAAACATTTGAGGACCCTTATGTACTGTCAGTGTCAGTATAGAACATTGAACTGCTATAGCCGCATCCAGGAGACTTCAGTTTAATAACTTCATATGCCCAAACCAAATGAGTTGTTGCTTGTCATTTGTCTTACACAGCTTACCTGCTGCATGAGGATTCAGTGTCTTCATCTCCTACAGAATTGTTTGGAAAACTCCCTCAGATTCCAGTTGCTTGTCTTGTTTGTAACAGGATGAGGGAGTGGATGACTTTCCCAGGCCTGCCTGGGTTTGACCTTGTGTCCTTGAGTGTAATTTTTTGGCTGCCATTATCTTGGTGTTCAGAGAAGACAGCAGCACTGCACAGCTGTATTTTGGTAGTGTTTCATGTACACTTTCTGAAGTGGTTTAGGGTGATTAAAGGTACTAAGAGAAAGTAACAGTTTCACAGCTGTATTTGCTGAGGAAATAAAAAGTTGTTGTGGGTATGCTGCTAAACAAATTTGAGGAACATGGAGATTACATTTTTATAGCTTGTATAAAAAAACTTGCTCTGTAAATGTATTAAGTTCTTTTAGATAGATTTAGATCCTGGATTACAGATCAGTTCACAGGGTGTTTTTATGCCTTCAGTCCAAGTAAGTCTTGTGCAGGTGGAGTGGCATGTCTGTTCTTTCTGGGCTAAAGCTAATTATTTAATCTAGTTGCTTTCTAGGGGAGAAATGCTAATAGTGTAGGACATAAGGAAATTGATAACTGAACAGCCATCAATGTTCTGATTGAAGCTGGCTTGTAATGATGAGTTGAAACTGCTTTTATTGTCTGTGACTACAGAAGTTGCTATTTATCTTGAGCATCCTGTGTGAGGAAGAATGTTGCTTGCTAGACTTTGTGGTATATTTGCAAAATGGTACTTTGGTTTGTGAATTCAGTACAAGCTTACAGAATTCATATAGTGCCTTAATGTACTAAATCTGGTTTGAAATGTCTCTTTCCAGGTACTGCTGAGGTATCCTCTATTCTTGAGGAACGTATTTTGGGAGCTGACACCTCTGCTGAACTTGAGGAGACTGGCCGTGTGCTGTCAATTGGTGATGGTATTGCCCGTGTGTATGGCCTGAGAAATGTCCAAGCAGAAGAAATGGTTGAATTCTCTTCTGGATTGAAAGTAAGCTTTCTCTAAAGCAGTTTGTTTAGTCTAGAAATATAACAAAGACTTTTTATAAGGAGAACATGAGACTATGCTTGGAGGTGCCTGTATGGACCTTACACAGAGTTCATTGCAACTTTAATACATAGTAACTAGCTGAAATAAAAATACAAAAAAGCAAATAATCTTTTAATTTGTAACACTTTGCTTCCAGTATCTGATTCTTTGCCAACATCTGAGCTTTATTTGTCTTCATCTAGGAAGTATAAGACCTAATCTGGTGTTGGATTTTATTTTCTTTGGTTTCAGGCTGGCTTTTCTGTTTGCTGTTGGATAATAGTCTCTCTGTTGTAGTAATGTATGCAGTTCGCTGACTTCTGAAAGTCCTAAGAGTAGTCTAGAGCTAAAAAGCTGTCTGATTGTTCCAAGAGTACTGCAACAGCTCTTTCGTTCTTTTTAATGACTGAACTTGCCTTAGAGAAGAAGCCAGTGATATTCCCTTGTCCAGTTCTTAGGCAAGAGGCAAATACTGTATTTGAACTCTGCTTATCCTTTCTGTTCCTTTTAGAGCGAGAAAGGGCTGAATGCTAGGCTGCTGCAAGTACAGTTCTGTAGTAAGCTGAAGGCTTAGGCAGGTTCTCAAACCACTGTGGATGAACATACATGTGTTGTACGTAAAAGCAGAACATTGACTATTGTTACAAATAAGATTGAGGTAGATTATATTGGATATTCTACACTGTAGAATAATCACATCTGTTTTAAACTGTCAAAATGCTTGTAAAGGTTGGTATGGATTTTCTCCTGACAGTGTGGCCTTTGTTCTAGGGTATGTCCTTGAATTTGGAGCCTGACAATGTTGGTGTTGTCGTGTTTGGTAATGATAGACTAATCAAGGAAGGGGATGTTGTGAAGAGGACTGGTGCTATTGTGGATGTTCCAGTCGGGGAAGAGCTGCTGGGCCGTGTTGTAGATGCCCTGGGCAATCCAATTGATGGGAAGGTAAGTTTAACTACTAGATGTTTAATGTCTCTGCTTGTATGTATGCTGTACAGACTGTAACAGGTTTTTTCTTGCCTTTTAAGGGTTCCATTGCATCCAAGACACGTAGAAGAGTTGGCTTGAAAGCCCCTGGGATCATTCCCAGAATCTCTGTGCGTGAGCCTATGCAGACTGGTATTAAGGCTGTGGACAGCTTAGTGCCAATCGGTCGTGGCCAGCGTGAGTTGATCATTGGTGACAGGCAGACTGGGTAAGTTAAATGCCCAAGCTAAAAATGTTTCCTTAAACTCGAGAACAGCATGTGCTGATGTGCAGAGCTGCACACAGTGGTGTAGAGGTTTGGAGAACTGTAGGCGGCTTAACTTACCAACCTCTGTGTTACAGGAAAACTTCCATTGCAATTGACACAATAATCAACCAGAAACGATTTAATGATGGAACAGATGAGAAGAAGAAGCTGTACTGTATCTATGTTGCAATTGGCCAGAAGAGATCAACTGTTGCTCAGCTGGTGAAGAGACTTACTGATGCAGGTACAGATTTTTGGAGGTAGTTCAGTCTGGCAGCTGGTCACATTTTCTTCTCATTATGATGTTGAATACTGCTATGATCTCTCCTACCTGTGAATGTAGACAGAATTCTTTCGTTCCTGAATGACTGAAATACTTGCTTTTGTGGACAAGAAATCTTCCTAGCTAGCTGGGGGAAAAAGCCTTCTTTTTGCTGCATCACATTAGGGGACTAGTATGAGCACCAGACTGCTGAATTGCTTCTGGAGAAGTCAACCTGGGGTTTTTTGGTTGTTTTCTTTTTTTTTTTTTTTTTTTTTTTTTTTCCCCAGCAGCATCGAGCTTCCTCTTGGTGGGCAGACATGATGAGAAGCTGTGGCCTGCAAGTATTTTTGGACTTGGCATTTGTTTCATATATATGCAAGTCAGTGTGAGTGGCAGTTGTAAATGTGGTGGATAGATTTTACTGCCCAAACACAAGCAATTAAATGATAGTGTCTTTTCAGAAATGGTGATCACCTTGGCTACGGCTGCATATGTAACAGAGCTTGCAAGAGATCAGGCAGCTTGCCCTCTTGCCTGCTGGTCAAGCAGAGTCATACCTAGCAGGAAAAAAACCAAACCACATTTTAATTACAGTAATTTGGCGCTATGAAACAAAGGATTGTATTTCCTTGCAGCAGCCAGGAAAACATGGGCTTCCAGGCTGAGTTAGTTTTAGAACCAAAGTGTGTCATAGTGTAAGTTTAACATTCAATTTAAATGGGAAAGGAGCCTGTGAGTGTTAGATGTTAGTTAGCTGTGCTGATGGATGTTTTAATCTAGTACCATGGTCTTTTTGTAAGTGTAGCGATGGTGCCTGGGCTGGCTTCAGTGACTGGTACATCACATGAGTGTTGTTTGCTGTTGACAGGCACATTGAGGTAATATACTCAGGGTGTGCATTTCCTATTCTTTCCAGATGCGATGAAGTACACCATTGTGGTGTCTGCCACTGCATCTGATGCAGCACCCCTGCAGTATCTGGCTCCCTATTCAGGCTGCTCCATGGGGGAATACTTCAGAGACAATGGAAAACACGCGTTGATCATCTATGATGACTTATCCAAACAGGTCAGGAAACATTGTTTGTAGGCCTCATAGTCTGGTATGTTTGTAGCTGTCAGATCACCTCAGGTTTAGAAATTCAAAGTTTTACATGAGCTACTGAAGTCTGAAATCTTTCTCTCTACCACGCAGGCTGTTGCCTATCGTCAGATGTCTCTGCTGCTGCGTCGCCCACCTGGTCGAGAAGCCTACCCAGGTGATGTGTTCTACCTGCACTCCCGCCTGCTGGAGAGGGCAGCCAAGATGAATGATTCCTTTGGAGGTGGCTCTCTGACTGCATTGCCTGTCATTGAAACTCAGGCTGGTGATGTGTCTGCTTACATTCCAACCAACGTCATCTCCATCACTGATGGACAGGTAGGACTTGTCATGCCAGTACTTCTGTGTAACTTAATGGCAGATCTCTGAGGAGGCTTCCAGGCTTCTGACCAAGATACTTTCTCCTACAGATTTTCTTGGAAACTGAGTTGTTCTACAAAGGTATCCGTCCAGCCATCAATGTTGGTTTGTCTGTATCACGTGTAGGTTCAGCTGCTCAGACCAGGGCTATGAAGCAGGTAAGCATGAAACTGCTGGTCCTCCTCTTACTAGAGACAAGTAGTGTGTAGGCTTTCCAACCCATTTCACTCTTTAAAGAACTTTGACTAGAGAGAGAATAAAGCTTTGGATTCCTTAGTGTTCTGAAATTCAGAATGTTCCGAAGAGCAAACTTTGGGGATCTCTTTGACATTTCCGTTGCCTCCTGGGGCCAGTAGAGGGAAAGGAAAATCGTGTTTGCACAGACATGTAGGGCTTTTAAGTTTCAGTATGTTGAACTTGGTACTGACCTAACAAGAAACATAAAATTTTTTTTAACCCCATGGTTTTAGTCCATACGTGGAATTAGGTTTAATATCCACTGTCACCATTTCAGGGAGCATTAGTATATTTGTTGAAAAGGCCAGGCAGATGGTTGGATTTGTAGAAACTCATATAATTATCTGTCAGAATCTTGGTATTCACTTGACTTGTAAAGCCAGGCAGAGCTGACTCGTGACAACTGTTAGCTGAAGATAACCTACAGACTACTAGACACATTTAAAAGGTGGTTAGACTCAGCCTGACATGTATTTTGTGTGGTAGGTGGCAGGTACCATGAAGCTGGAATTGGCTCAGTATCGTGAAGTAGCTGCCTTTGCCCAGTTTGGGTCTGATCTGGATGCTGCTACGCAGCAGCTGCTGAAACGGATCCGTGGTGTACGTCTGACAGAGCTGCTCAAACAAGGACAGTATGGTGAGTGTCTTGGACATAACAGGTCTGCATTTCCCATTAGTCTTTTGTGCTAACCAGGCCGGTCTTCATGGCAGCATTGTGTCTGTTCTGTGGACATGGTGAATGCAGACTGGATTGTCGACTAAACCATGTGATAGATGTGCAGTTGATCTTCACAGAAGGACTCTGTAGCACTGATATGTCCTGATGTTGGGAGTTACCAGTGGCATGAATGCTTTCTCTTCTGCAGTTCCCATGGCTATTGAGGAACAGGTTGCAGTCATCTATGCTGGTGTCAGAGGTCACTTGGACAAGCTGGAGCCTAGCAAAATCACCAAATTTGAGAGTGCTTTCCTAGCTCACGTACTCAGCCAGCACCAGGCCCTCCTCTCCACAATCAGGTATGATAGTTAATCTTGCATCATCCCAAGATGATGGTATGGATGGCTGGAGTGCAGATAATGTGCACTGAACTGTTAATTGAGGGTATCCTACAACATCAAGCCTTGAGCTGCCTGTTCCAGAGCTGGAGGTTAAATCAGCTTTGCTGCTGTTCGGAGCTCAGCTTCACATCTTCAGCTTTCACTTGGACAAAATGAGAACCTGCTTGCATACTTCTAATCAGATATGGAAATAATTTAACCAGATCCTAAATTTTTGGCAGCTTTAAGATGTGAGAGTGCTGTGGATTAAGTGCTGCTCAGTGCCTTCCCTGCTGCTGAGTGGAGTCCTGGGGTGTTTGAGTGTTTCTGACCTAGTCCTGGCTTGTTTTGTCATGAGTTGAATCATGTGCCTGCCATCCCTGTAGAAAGCAGAGCCTTTCTGAACTACATATGGCTGTTTTAAAGCTATTTGTTGACGAACCTCAGTTCTTAAACAGGACTAACTTTAGAAGAAGTGATGTTATGTTAGTTTCACAGGTACATTAGCTTCATGCATCAAACAGACTAATTCATCGCTATTCTTGTTAGAAATGGGAAGGTTCATTGTAGTTTAATTTGTTTTGGGTATTGACCATTATCTATTCCTGCATCAGAAGTTTAATGACATTCTCTCAATAGGACTGAAGGGAAGATCTCTGACCAGACAGAAGCAAAGTTGAAGGAAATAGTCACAAATTTTCTGGCTACTTTTGAGGCATAAACTCGTAAAACTGTTAAAACAGACCAGGCTATTGCGATCCTGTGCTCCAGCTCCGTCAAAGACTTAAAAGTATGTGCGACTTGAATGTACAGATCTTGGTGAGAATAAAAATTCCCATGTAAAAAGGTGTGTGTGTTCCAAATTACTGCCTTGCTGTGTGGCTACATGTGTCACGTGTGCCTTTAAGACCATAAGGTTAAACTCCTCTAGACACTCACTTGTGAAAGGAACTCTGAAAATTCAAACCAGGGGGTTCAGAATTGGGTGGATTGGACTCCCTATAGAATATGGAGTAGGGGTAGCAGTTGGATTCTGCTTTAGGTGACCTGTGTACCAGACAGCTTGAGTTGTGTACCCAGTGCCCTAACCAGCTACCCTGCTTTAACACAGGGAGAGCTAAAGCAGTCCAGTAAAGTAAAAAAAATAAAAAAGGCAGTTTCCACTTACAGAAATAAATCAGCACAGTTGTGACCTGAGGGCGTTGCTACTTGGCAAACGTAATGGGTTTAATTTGACAAAAGCAGGCTTGTGTGGATTTTGCTTCCAACATTGATGGCTGCAGTTCCTGTGCCGGTAGCAGAGGTCATGTGCTATCTGTGTTTCAGATCCGAAAGATTTCAGGCAATGCTTTGAAGAGGTTTTAACAAGTTCACATTTCAGCCGGGGTACAACATGCACACAAACTCCAAAGTGTGAATTCTGGAATGAATTTCTAAGTTTTCTCCATGTGGTGTGCTGATAAAGCAGGCTTTAGGACAAGCAGGTAAGCCTGAGTGGGGTTGAGACCCCAAGAGAGTCACCACCACCCCCACATGCTGCTTCTCAGCTTTCCATCAGTGCTTTGTGGCTGGGGCAGCCAACAGCACCTTTGGGAATTGGTGATAGACCTTCCACCACCAGCCCCACTGTTCCCACCTCTGACCAGACCCCAGGTATTTACCACATGGTGCTTCAATGAGGAAGTTCTCACCCTACCAAGTCACAGCAGGAACAGGGCAGAAATTAGCTGGGGTAGCTCTGCTTTGGATGCAGGTTGGGACAGCTGGGCTAGTTCAGCCTGGAGAAGAGAAGGCACTGGAGAAGCACAGCTCCACTGCCTAAAGGGGCCACAAGAAACCTGGAGAGGGGATTTGGACAAAGGCCTGTAGGGACAGGACAAAGGGAATGGCTTTAACCTGACACGGGAGATTGAAAAGAGATTTGAGGCAGCAGTTCTCTGTCAGGGTGCTGAGGTCCTGGCACAGGGTGCCCAGAGAAGCTGTGTCTGCCCCATCCCTGGTAGTGTTCAAGGCCAGGTTGGACACAGGGTCTTGGAGCAACCTGCTCTAGTGGAAGGTGTTCCTGCCCATGGCAGGGGCTTGGAACTGCATGAGCTTAAAGCTCTCTTCCACCCCAAAACACTGTGGTTCTCTGACACTGCGCTGCGGGGTGGGACCGGCCGGCTAGGGCGGGGCGGTGCCAAGAGCCACGGAACTGTGTTCAAGTGGTGTCTGTGTCCGAGCTGCAGCAGGATGCGGGAGGCACGGTTCCGGGACCACTTCTGGGTGAGTGAGGTCTCGGCGAGGCTGGAAGCAGTGTGGTAGGACCCGACCAGAGCCGGGGGGCTCACGTCAGGGCTGGGGGGTGGCAGTCTGCTCTGGTCAGAGCTGCTCCAAAGCCACTCTTATGTTCCTGTGTTGCCATCGCTGAAGGCAAAGTCATTCCCTATCCACACATGTCCCGAGATCCGTGGCTTTGCAGCCTGCCCTGTCCAGCTAAAATACACCCCATGGACCTGCCGAGCTGGGGGAAGTTGGTGCTGGGCTGGGGGGTTGATAATATTAATTTGATGAACTGCTTAGAGATACCATGGCCAAAAAGTCTCCTTTGATGCAATCTAATCCTGGACAGGGGTGAGTCCCTCAGTGTGCAGCTGCCAAACAACGGGGTTCAGGGAAAACCACAACATATTCTTTTGGTTCTGAACATTGCTTTTGGAAATGGAGAAGTGCAAAATCCCCACTTAGCTGCTGCACAGCACTGGCAATGTGGCTGCTCAGTTCCTCTTGGCGTGTGAGCCTTTCTTTGAGGAAATAAATGACAGAATTTTATCTTTGAGGGCTGAAAATCCCCATCTGTGAATGGCCCACAGGGTTTCCCAGATGATTTCTGGGAAGAAGCTCCCATCTTCCAGGGTGGGAAGAAGGTGTATGGGTCCCTGGAGGAGCGGGTGCCAGGTTTGGGGGTGCTGATGAGAGGTAAGTGCAGAGCACTTGGCTCATGGAACATAGTTATGTGTTATCTGGCACATCGCTGTCAGATATGTAAATCCCACATAAGTATTGAACCTGGCTTGGAGAATGAAGCCAGATTTGCATCTGGCAGATGTTTCTCAGCTGTTCCCACAGTGTTCACTTTGCTTTGCAATGTGAGGGAGAGGAGGGATTTGAGCATTCCCCAGGCTGGGGGGAATAACCATGATGCTATGAAGACACCCATTGTCATGCTTTGGTGGAGCATTGGATTGAAGAAGAGGTCCTGGCTGCAGGGCTGGCTTTGGCTAGCACTGCCTGGTTTGTTCCTCTCTAGCTGCAGCATGGTGCTTTCTGAAGAAGGATCTTGGAGGAAGGAGAAAATACCAGGGCAGGAGCAGCCCGAAGCACCCAGGGTGAGGAGGAGCTGGGACATTGCATTGGGTGCTTGCTTCGGCCTGACGCCCTATATTGCAAACATAGCTATATACTGAATAATGCCCAGTTCTTGCTGAGCCCAAAACTTTTGGTGCTGACAGCGATTTTGCTTGACTTCTAGCTTTTTCCTTTCCGAAGCTTGTGTGCTTCGACACCCACCCCCTCACCCCTGACAATGGAAATGTGCCTGGGGCAGAGGCTGGAATGGAACGTGATGGGTGTGGCTTAGTGGAGAGATGGAGGCCTTGCTTGTGGTCTGTCAGCCCATGGAAAAGGCAGTTACCACAGCAGGCAGTCTCCAACACCGTGGGCCAGTGGCTGTGCATCAGCTACAAGGGCTGGGGAGGGAGCTGGGGGAGCAAGAGATGGACAGAAAACCCCAAATTTAGCTGAGGTGAAGAAGGCTGCTCACCCAGATTCTGTTTGCTGTTTAGTGGTGTGAGAGCACAAACTTCCTCCTGCAGTTCTATCTCTTAAGTTACTTCGCTTAAGCCAAAAAGTCAAGGAGAATTCTTTGCTGAAGCAAGTGATTGTGCAGTGGTCAGGACAGCCCGATGGGAAGGGGAGATTCTGGGGAGGGCCCCAGGGCAGTGATGCTCCAACTGATGGGACAAAGCCTGAAAAATAACCAAACCCCCCAAAAGCTGAGCAGTTTTTGGCATCACATCTCCCAGCTTTGAAACACATCTGGTTGTGAATGGCAATGGCCAGATTTCTCTTGGGGATAAGCTGCAGCCTGCCCTTGCTCTATCAGGGTGGCAGGGCTGTGCTTCAAGCCTATTTGGGACTGATTTAGCTTTAAACCCCATTAGTTCTGTTCTTTTCAGTGGCGTGCATATGTCTGTCTTTTCCTGCACTGCAACCTGGTCCCTGCCAAAGTTCACACTGTGATGCTCGTGATGGCCATTGGGAAAGCACACGATGCCCTGCATTCCAGTTTGCTCATGTTCTCAGGTCTCTGCACAAGATGATAAATTCCCTTAAATAAAGGGGTTTTCTCTTGTGCATCCTCCTGCAGTTCCTGCTTGTCCAGGGATGCCTGAAGCTACACAGGCATTGCACAGAATGCCCCCGCTTACATGACGCAGCATGTGCTGCCTGAAGAAGAGCTGTGAAGACATACCAAAGACGGTGTTTGTTTCCTCTTGCCCGGAATGTAGTGATTGCCACGACTTGAGCAAGTGTGGGCTTTTGTTTGCGTTTGGTTTTGCAACCTGCTGTTCTTCTTTCACTTTAATCATTTTCTTGGAAAGTGCCAGGTTCTCCCCCACCCTGCTCTTGCAGATTATTTCAGGTAACCCAAAAGCAGAGATTTGGGTTTCATCAGAGCACTTTGGTCCTAAGAAAAATAGACATTATGATAACGCAAAAAAACCCCCCACTTTAAGTCTGGTGTACTGGCTCACAGCTTGCCACTTGGAGAGTGGATTTTCAGTCATTTTGCATGTAATGAGACAAAACCACTGCTCTGCTTTCTGCAGTGTATTTAGCAATGCTGCCACAACAATCCACAGCTCAGGCAAGTCATTTACAGTAAAAGCTGCACTGGCATATTTAGTTTTCTAATAAAGCATATGTCAAAGTACCCAAAAATACTTTTATACCCTCAACACATAGGAAAGAGCTATTGCATCTCTTTTTGCAGTGGCACAAAAGAAGGGGGGGGGAATGCTTTGCTCCTTGCTGCAGAGCAAGGGAGCATTGGTTTGTGCAAAGGCACCAGCAATTCCTCCCTCTGGCCTCTCTGTCATGGGCTTTGGATGGTATTTTGTCAGTGCTGTGACTGGCTGTATTTCTCCTTTATTGCCATGATACTCTTTTAACCCTGTTCAGCTAGCTGGGGGTAAACACCCTTTTCTTGCATTCCCACTGCCAGCCCCAGGCTCCTGGGTTCATCACCCAGCTGCTGAGTCACAGTGTGATGCTGGCTGTGCCATTTCACTTCCCCTTGCTCCTGCCTGTCCTTCTCTAAATGGAGCCTGGCCTGGCAGAGTTTCTCAGCAGCATTATGAAACCCTCAAGTCCTTCTTTGAAAGGAACAAGGTGGGGTATGTGGGAAGAAGCAGTTGCATTGAGGCAGGATGGTCCATTGCTCTCTGTGTGTCCGGGATGACCAGGATGGGTGTGTTTCTTTATGGGAAGGAAACTTCAAATGGAAAATTATTAATCAAAAAGCTGCTTTTCGCTGTTCTGAGGTGGGTGAATTTACAGTGAGTCGTATTCTTCCCTGCAGTGAGTTTTGTCTGTCCTGTTGTGCCCACCTGGTCATGGAATGGGGAGGAACTGCAGTCTTTTGCACCCCACATGCACCAGCACAAGGTTTTATTTCATCCCAGCCATATCTGCAGGACCCTGAGTGATTCTGAGGCTATGCTGACTGTGAGCAAGAATAGCACAGCCATTTATTGCTGCACGGTGCTTCTGGCTACTAAAATAGTCACCCAGCTTCTGCTGTGTT